GGAGCAAGGATGCTTGCTACTAGGGGCTCCTGGCCTTACTACTAGGAACAAAAGATCATGTTTTGCAAACTTTAAATTTCTCCTTCGCCACTGCGCGTTCAACGGACGCTTCTCCGTTGGCCCCCCTGCAGCCAGGTCGCAGCCCCAAACGCTTTCCAAAACAAAATCCAAATCCTGAAAAAAACCGCCTCCGCATTCTCCGCACCATCAAATTTGCCTCAGTATGTTTTGCTCTCAGCACTAGCTGTGCATCCAATCCCCATCTGCTTTATATAAACTGGTCTGCATCCTGAAAGTGTCAGTGCAAATCCTACCGCAAGCTGAACGGGAAACAAGTGAGAAAATATGAACGGCAAGGGTCTACATGCAGTGACAGCACCGCATCCCATCGTGCGTTTGTGCCTGGGACAAATCAGCTTTTGCATGTTTTGAAAAAGCAAGGCCGCAAGGCTCGCTGCCTCAAAGAAGGCTCGTGGAACCGGGAAGCATCTTTTTTCTATGAGCCAAAACGCAATCGACAGTCCTGTGCTTGGAGGAAATCTTGCAAAGCACGTTCAGTCGATTGTTGGCTTTCCATCTCATGCAAAATGGATCATGTTCATGTGGGCTTTTGCGTCAAAACCGATCAAGTCATTTTGCTGCAGCCAGTGCAGAAATCATCTTCGCCTCGCGAGCTATCATCCAGATTTGATGTTGAGACTAGCAAGTCGTGGAAAGTGCTTGAGCAAACAAAAGTCAAACATTCAGGGAACGCTGAACAAACAATCCCATGTTTCCCCACACAATACGTGTGGTAGCCTTACATCGTGACAAGCGTGTCAACATCAACACGTGCACGCGCAGGAGACCATGACTGTCCAGCCACTTGCTTCGGGTCCCTTTTTGAGTCATCTGTCATTCTTCTTGTCATACAACCTAAGAGCGATGGCCTCCAACCTACTAACGATGGCCTCCAACCTACTGGCAATGGCCTCCAACCTAAGAGCGATGATGGCCTCCACCCTAGTAGCGATGGCCTCCAACCTAATCTTTTTAGTCTTTTTAGATGTTTGTTGATCCTTTAAAGACCATTTTCTCTCATTCTTTGACATTCTTGTTTATGAGCAGGGACAGTGCTACACCTCCACCGATACCTCTTCCATGCTTACCATAAATCTTTCTTGAAGCTTTTGGAAATAGAAGGAAGTAATTAAACACAAATGGAAACTCATTTTGGGGTATCCAACATGCCTTTTTTCAATTGGGTACTCGGGATTAGAGCATTCCGATTGACCATTTTGCCTTCCAAATGGGTTTTTATTGACATTTGCACTTTGCCTCAGCTGTTCGGCAGACTCAAGGTCAGCATTTTTGGGATATGGCCCAACTCGCGCAAAATTAATGGCGACAAACATCTCGCCAAGGATGTCGAAATTGTTCGGACCAAACATGCTCGGTCCAGTGAGTCCAGAACTGGCCAGAAGAATGCAGAGGTCAAACTGACAACAGGGGTCAACTTAAGCTACTAGGAACAAGTGCATCGCTACTAGGAACAGGAATAAAAATAAATTAGAAATCAAACAATCGTCGTTTGATGTGAAGGCAACGCCAGGAGACATTCGCCATTGTTTGAGCGACGACCAACATCGGGAAAAGATATGAGGCCATCAGCCATCGCTATTAGGTTGGAAGCCATTGCTATTAGGTTGGAGGCCATCGCTACTAGG